GGGCTTTATACTCAGCTTAGGAAAGGTTCAAGGGGCTTCTCAGAGACTGTCCTCATCACAATTAGACAAATGAAGTGTTAGCTCATACTTTCACTAAGGGGCTACATCCTGAGAAAAAGATTATGGTGGATGCTCCAGCGGGAGGTCAACTGTCAGAGAAAAGCTTCGATGAGATATATGCATTATTGAATAAATTCTCCAAAAGTAATCATGATTGGCAAGGAGAGATGGACAGACACATAGTGGAAAAATCTACAGGGGTTCTCGAGTTAGATATCGTCTCTGCATTATCAGCGCAGGTTTTCACATTGGCCAACAAAGTTAATAAGATGACCTTGGTTATTAACAAGCAACAAGCTCAGCCAGTGAAACATGTTCAGATATTTTGTGAAGTTTGTTGAGAGGGTCACTCAAGCAACTAATGCCCAGCTAATCCAGAGTCTGTCTGTTTTATGGGTAATACAAATAGGGTACGGACAAACCAGTTTGGGAACACTTACAATCCTTACTGGATGAACCACACAAACTTCTCTTGGGGTGGAAGCCAAGATGCTCAGAATCAGTACAGGCCATAAGCTCCACAATAGCAATATAGACCACCACAGGCTGAACAACCTACAAACTCGACGAGCCACATTGAAGAGATTCTAAAGGAATTGATGGCTGACTAGTAGACCCAAGTAGCAGAAATGAGAAATTTGGAGCGACAAATGGGGCAGCTTGCTAGTGCCCAAAATACTCGACCAGTTGGAGCTCTTCCAAGTGACACCGAGGCTAATCCTAAGGCATATATTAATGTTGTATCATTGAAGAATGGGAGACGGTTAGAAGAAGTCCTATCGAAAAAGAGGAAGCAAGTGACCTTTCATGAGAAACCGGCCACCATAAAAGCAGAATCAGAAAAAGCAAAGGAGTCAGAGAAGCCAGGTGAAGAGGCGGTGGCTAAGAAACCCCCACCATTAGTTGAGAGGTTACCACCTCCGTTCCCTTAGATATTGTAGAAATTGAAGGATAATGCCGCTTATAAAAGATTTCTTGATATTTTGAAGCAGGTGCAAATCAATATTCCACTGGTAGACATCATGCAAGAAGTGCCCAAATATGCCAAATACATCAAGGACATAGTGGCAAATAAGAGGAGGTTGACAGAGTTCGAGACAGTGGCACTCACTGAAGAATGTAGCTCAAGAATTCAAAGCAAGCTACCTCAGCAATTGAATGATCCGAGTAGTTTCACTTTCCAAATCTCGATTGGTAAGCACGTAGTCGGGTGAGGTTTGTGTGATATTGGGGCGAGCATCAATTTGATGCCGATATCTGTGTTCAGACAGTTGGGGTTGGGTGAGCCGCGCCCAACCATGGTAATTTTATAATTGGTTGATCGCTCTCTTGCTCATCTTGAAGGAGTGATTGAAGATGTGTTAGTTCAAGTGGGATCTTTTATATTCCTTACTGATTTTATTATCTTGGACTATGAGCCTGATCAGGAAGTCCCATTTATTTTGGGGTGTCCATTCTTAGCCACGGACCAAGCTATCATTGATGTATGTGAAGGAAAGATAACGATGAGAGTGGGTGATCAAGTGGAGGTATTCAATGTGTATATAGCACTCAAATTGCCAGCCCACTATGAAGAGATATCCATGATTTCTGTTGTGAAAAGTGATGTGACATCATTGGTACCTTATGTGAGCCCCATAGATCCTCTTGAACGAGCCTTGATTGGGGATGAAGAAGATAGTGAAGATGAGATGATAGAAGAAATTGAGCAAGTACTTAACATGTCTTGCAGTTATGTCCATGGGTTTGGGAGACTTGAGCAGTTGGACAGGCCTGTTACTCTGAACCTTCCTAAGCCATCTATTGAAAAAGCTCCAAGGCTAGAGCTTAATCCCCCTCCAGCGCATCTGCGCTATGCTTATTTGGGGAACTCTGAGACATTGGAAGTGATTATCTCATCCAGCTTAACCGATGTGCAAGAAGAAAAATTTCTCAGAGTACTTCGTGAGCATAAAAAGGCTATTGGGTGGACAATTGCTGACATCAAAGGAATCAGTCCATCATTTTGCATGCATAAAATCTTTCTGGAAGATGGACACCACCCCATTATTGAGCAACAAAGGAGATTAAATCCCATTATGAAAGAGGTCGTGGAGAAGGAAGTAACTAAGTGGCTCGATGCAGGTATCATCTTTCTTATTTCTGACAGCAACTGGGTAAGCCCAGTGCAATGTGTGCCTAAAAAGAGGGGGGATGACTGTTGTAGAGAATGAAAAGAATGAGCTAATTCCTACTCACACCGTGACGGGGTGGAGAGTTTTCATTGATTACAAAAAGCTCAACAAGGCAACCTGCAAGGACCACTTCCCACTTCCCACTTCCATTCATTGACCAAATGTTGGACAGGTTGGCAGGGCATGAATATTATTGCTTCCTTGATGGTTATTCGGGGTACAACCAGATTGTTGTATGCCCAGGGGATCAGGAGAAGACCACTTTTACATGTCCTTATGGTACTTTCACTTTCAAGCGAATGCCATTTGGTCTTTGTAATGCACCGGCCACTTTCCAGAGGTGCATGATGGCTATTTTCACCAATATGGTAAAAACATTTATGGAAGTCTTCATGGATGATTTTTCAGTCTTTGGTTCTTCTTATGATGACTGTTTGAAGAATTTGAGCAAGTGTTGGCCCGTTGTGAAGAAACAAATTTGGTGTTAAATTGGAAAAAGTGCCATTTTATGGTACAAGAAGGTATCGTGTTAGGCCATAGAGTGTCAAAGAGAGACATTGAAGTTGATAAGGCAAAGGTGGACGCGGTTGAACAATTACCTACACCCATTTCTCTGAAGGGTGTCCGGATTTTCTTGGGACATCCGGGGTTTTGTAGACCCTTTATTCAAGATTTTTCAAAAATTGCTAGTCCATTATGCAGGTTGCTTGAAAAGGATGTAACCTTCAATTTTGATGAACCCTGCCTGAAGGCATTCAAGGAGCTCAAGAAGAAATTGGTGGCTGCCCCCATTATTCAGTACTAGATTGGTCCTTGCCATTTGAACTTATGTGCGATGCAAGCGACCATGCTATTGGGGCAGTGTTAGGCCAGAGAAAGGGCAAGATGTTCTACTCCATCTACTATGCTAGTAAAGATGTTGATGTTGAACAACTGAATTATACCACCACTGAAAGGAGTTGTTGGCCGTTGTGTGGGTGTTTGAGAAATTTTTTGGCATACTTGGTGTGAACAAAAGTCATAGTCCATACCTATCATATAGCAAACAGTTATCTATTTACAAAAAAAGAATCCAAAGCTAGATTGATGCCCTGGGTTTTGTTGTTGCAGGAATTTGCTATATAAATACGAGATAGAAGAGCACAGAAAACCAAGTAGATGACCATCTATCAAGGCTGAAAAATCATGAGCATGTGGAGGAAGGTGGACAAATAAAGAAGGCATTCCCTGATGAGCAACTTTATGCTATCACCCAAGACCCTCCCCCATGGTACGCGGACTATATGAACTATATTGTGAGTGGGGTACTTCCCCCTTGATTTAAATCTGAAGCTAGAAAGAGGTTTCTATATGATGTAAACATCTACTATTGGAATGAGCCATTCTAGTACAAACAGTGCACTGATCAGTTGATGAGGAGGTGCATTCCAGAAAAGGAGGTGGAATTAGTGTTATATGATTGCCATGCCTCGCCTTATGGGGACCATCATGGAAGCAACAAGACAGCTTCAAAGGTGTTACAATTTAGGTTCTTTTGACCAACATTGTTCAAGGATGCCCATGCATTTATTAAGAAGTGTGACCAGTGTAAAAATATAGAGACAATCATAAAGAGGCATGAGATGCCTTTGAATAACATCCTGGAGGTCGATATTTTTGATGTGTGGGGGATAGGCTTTGTGGGACTGTTCCCATTGTCCATAGGAAACAAATATATCTTGCTAGTAGTTGACTACGTGTCGAAATGGGTAGAGGTGATCGCATTGCCAACCAATGATACCATGGTGGTAGCTACTTTTGTGAAGAAGAACATATTCTCGAGGTTTGGGACTCCACGTTGATTAGTGATGAAGGGACATATTTTTGCAATTGGTTATTGAATAACCTTCTAGCTAAATATGGGGTCCGCCACAGAGTTTCCACGGCATATCATCTGCAAACAAGTGGACAAGCGGAGGTGTCCAACAGAGAAATACAACAAATATTAGAGAAGGCAGTGAGTGTGAACAGAAAGGATTGGGCTGCAAAATTAGATGATACCTTGTGGGCATATAGAACTGCATAAAAAATACCAATTGGGTGTCTCCGTACAAGCTTATTTATGTGAAGGCATGTTACTTGCCTGTTGAACTTGAACACAAGGCGTACTGGGGGATTAAAAAGTTAAATATGGACTTTTAAGTCGCGGGCGAGAAGAGACTCTTGTAATTGAATGAGTTGGATAAGTTTAGGCTGCACTCTTATGAAAATGCTAAGCTTTACAAAAAGAAAACGAAAAGATGGCATGACAAGCGTATCCGACCATGTCACTTCAAACCGGGCCAACAGGTTCTATTGTTCAATTCTAGGCTCAAGTTGTTTCCTGGGAAGTTAAAATCGAGATGGTCAGGTCCATTTGAGGTGGTGAGAGTCACTCCTTATGGTGCTATTGAGCTGCGCGCTTTACATGGTGAAATAAAATTTTAAGTGAATGGGCACAAAGTCAAACACTATTGGGGAAGAATTATTAATCGTGAGAAGACCAAATTAGTACTCACTGATGAGTAAGCGAGGCCTAGCATCGTGCCACGACATTAAATTAGGCGCTTGTTGGGAGGCAACCCAATTTTTATTGCTTTCATAGTTTAGTTTTATTTAATTTTTAGTTAGAGTAGACTAGAGTTTTTATTTTCTTTGTAGACATAGAAATTATTAGTAGAATAGTGTGGGGCATGTAAATTGGATATATAAGGTGCTCGGGGGGATCCGGGATTTCATTCATAAAAACAAAAAGAAAAAAAGAATTTGGCGAACCAGCGCCCCATGTTACCTGGGGCGCAGTTTACAGAATGCTTGAAGCCCCCAGTGCTAGTCCTAGCTTGGGACGCTAGGCTGGGGGGCAGGTAAGTATTAATTTTGTTTTTATTTTATTAGGTTAATACCCATACCCATAAAACCCGACCCATATACCCATCTACCCTTACATTAAAACCCATACCAAATCACCTAACCCATCTTCACTCAAACAAAAATAATTTTAACATCACTCAACCCCCCCCCCCCCCCNAATTACCCATAATTATTTCTCAGAGTTTTTTTATGGTGTGTGGGCCTAATGAGAATGAAATTTGTTGACAACACTAGATTGTTGTATTGTATACAGAGTAGTAAACTAGATTTCCCTCTACTTCGTGGAAATATGGGAGGGCCACTATGTTCCAAAATTGTTGAACTAAGTTGCACACACTTCATGCCCACAATGTGTTTGCTAAAATGTTTGAATGAGTACTTTGTGCATCGGTGAAGTCTGAGTAATTGAGTGTAGTTGTATGTGATATTGGGCTAAGTGTGGGGTGTTTGAGGGTGGTTTTACATAATTCGGAGCTTGGTTTTAATGCAAACATGTTTCCCACACCATGTATCTTGTATTATGTATGTTGCGGCACTTTGTAGAATTAGCTAATGTATGGTAGTAGTTGTAGAGGTTAAGGACCATGTGCCACTTGCTTGAATTAAAGCTAAATCACTTCACCATGATCGTCCACTTTTGACTCTCACGATAACCTTAGGCGGATTTCTTTATTCATTCCCACATTCATGCTTATTTGGGTTATAGATTGCTATGGCTCGTGATAGTGCAAATAAGGGCAAGGGGGTAGGGAAGTCCTCAACCACTGCTCCTACGCCTAGAAAGCGCAAGCAAGGGGAAGGATCATCTAGGCAAGCTAAAGGGAAATAAGTTGCCGACGGATCACAGTAGGCACCATTGCGACCGAGGCCTCGTTTGGATCTAGTTTGTGATGATGCTATCGCATGGCATAGGGACTTCATGCCATATGGGCGGTATGTCTCCGAGATGGGTATTAATGTGAAAACATTGGAAAAGAACTTCCCGAACGTGCTTGCCCGGTTGCGAGAACTGAAAATGGATAAACTCTTATAATACCACGACCATGCAAATTTGAGCATGGTGCGAGAACTGTATACCAATTGGAATGCGGACTTGGTCATATCATGGGTCCGTGGAAAGGACGTACCACTAGGTAAGCGGTCCTTATGTGAATTTTTGGGAGTTGAGAACTCTAACCCGCGTAGGCTACAAATATTTTTCTAAAGCCCAAGCTACACGGCATTACGTCACACTCTTTTGTGGCGTCGATTCGAATGCCAAGTGGACCATAACTAAGGGTGATGCCCATCTTGAGATGATCCACTTCGATTTCAACAAGACTGCCAAAGTGTGGCAAACGTTTGTGCAGGCCCAACTCATGCCAATTGAGCACAACAGTGAATGCACTCGAGCTCGAGTATGTGTGACATTCTTTTTGATGATTGGGTGACCCATCAATGTGGGTGAGATCATGTTAGGGGAGATGGCCCGCACATGATTTGGGCGGCAAATCAAGAGATTCTTCTTTGGCAATTTGCTCACGCAGTACATGCTGTCCCGGGGGTGCCTGAATACCCTAGGTATGATGAGGTTGTGGAGGCTCCTAAGGGGTTGATGGACATCATATCTTTGTTGGAGACTACGTCTAAGCTTACCCAGGAAGCACAAAATGAGAGAGACGAGAACTTCAGCATGTATCTCTATAACTTCTTAAATGTGATCATGAGCAGGATGGGTGTATCAGACGAGGAGTGTATGCATCTACGTAATGATTTGTCTAGTTCTTCCAAAGAGATGTTAGGTATTGCACCTGGCAGTCCCGTTCACTTGTCAGAGGATGAGAACACTTACAAAGGTTCGACACTGAGGATGAGATTGGTGATGAAGTCACTGGACCCATGTCTTTGGTGCCACTGGGAGCTGATGATGATGATGAGCTCAGAGCTGTGGCTGGCGGGCATTCTTAGGAGGTGGAATCCGACTAGCAGGGAGTTTTTTTTTTCACCGTACTTTGCTTTAAATTTTTACATACATCGGGGACTATGCATATGCTAAGTGTGGGGTGGGGGAACTACTTCTTGTGATGTAAATTGTATAAATTTGTTTCTTTTTATTAGTTTTTTTAGGAACTCGTAGTAGACTTAGTCTAGTTTTAAAAATAAAAAGAAAAAATATATATACAAAAATAGAAAAAAAAGAAAAAACTCGGACTTTTCCCGATGATGGATCCTTTGAATAATTTTCTTGAGGGATTAAAGTCCGATTAAAAAAAACCAAAAGGATTCTTTTAGGATAGTTAGGTAGTATCCCTTGGTTTTTCTTTGGGCACCGATTCTTTTCCAAGAGTGTAGCTCGAACCGGGTACTTTGGTTTTCTTTTTAGGAGTATGTTAGGAAGAAACTAGGTCGCTCTGAGGTACCTATTGATGTGTTTGGTGTTGGCACATTAGGCTATGGCATGCGCTCTATCTTCCCGTGCATTTGATTTGAATTGTGATGCCTGAGTAAAATAAATAGCCTACTCTGTTACGCTTTTTCTCAGTTGTTTGACTTGTATGCCACATAGTGCAATATTGCAAAAAATTTCTCAATTATGTGTGCTTGCTTGACTTGAGAGTTGAATAGAAATGTCTCGATTGAGTCATGTGTAATGTGTGTGTGAGGATTTGTGATCTTCTGTGCTATCCTATGTATTCTAGAACTTGCCCCGTGTGTAATCGAAGCAAAATCAGTAAGTTGTGATAGTCTAGGAGATGTCATAGGCATTTCTTGGTTGATCATAGATGTGCTTGTCACTTAGAAATAAAATTTTCTGTTGCTATCCCCTTTGAGCCTGTAGACCTTTTCTTTGGCACCCACATTACATGTCACACCCCTATTTTGTTCTTAATTTGATATTGTTGAACCTTTACCTCCTAAGACACTTAGTCGTTAAAA